CCCGGCGCGCGCGCTCCCGGGCCAAGGACGCACGGCGCGCGCGCTCCCGAACCCGGGCCTAGCGACCCGGGTGTCCGGAACAGTGCCCGACTCCGGAAGTAAGGGCGCGAGGAGACTGCTGGGAACGGTGGGCAGACCCGGAAGTCCAACCACTAAAAGGCCCATCCCTACTGGAAAAGTGGGGCCGCTGAGCGTAGAGGAGGACGTAGACCAATGTAAATCCAAGCTAGGGCCTGAGAAAGCTGAGAAAAGTTCCAGACGCGGAGCCAGAAGCAGCTTCCTAACAACTCCATTCTCTCTGGCAAGTTTCGGAGTGCCCCTTGCACACGGCTGCCCCTTCCTCTGTGGTCGGGCGCGGCGGGTGCCTGGCCCTTTAAGGCTGGAACCCGATCAAAGAACCGCTGCAGGCGCGCAGAAAGCCAGGTCGAGACGGGGAAAACCTCTGAACGGGTCTGAGTATTCTTGAAACTGTGCTTAGGTGCTGAAGAAAGAAAAGGAAACGGGTATAGACAGTCACGAAAAAAAATAGTTTGAAAATAATACAGTGAAGTCTTAACATCTGAGTAAATTGGGAGCATGGGGACTTTGAGGGAGGGGAGAGGCCGGGAGGGTAGCAGAGAAAAACGTAGAGCTCAATAAAAATAAATAAATAAATAAATAAATAAAAGTAAAGTGAAGTCTTTAAGGAGAGAGTAAAGTAATACAAAAAGAACAAGCACATAAGATTGGGAGATACCATAACACAGGTAGAACCTATGTAGTGCTGGATTAAATGGTTTAAAATAGGAACAGAAAATGAAAGGATTAAATTACTTAACTGAGATTGGCTTAATACTGATTATGATTACTATCATTCTGGTATTTCATATTTAACTCCTTGTTTTAAGTTTTTCTCGAGACAGGGTTTCTCAATGTAGTCCTGGCTGTCCTGGAACTAACAAAGATCCACCTGCCTCTGCCTCCCTAGTGCTGTTATTAATGTCGTGTGCCACCACCGCTTGGCTTTATATTTAATTCTTAATAGCCATAGGGTCTTTCTGTGCCTTCTCAAAAAAAAATTAGAAATACAGGAAAAAGAAAAATATAAAAGGTGTTTGGTTCAAGTATCATTACCTGCTCAGCTACCTTGCCAGAAATGCCTTTAAAAATCTAGATTAACCGGGCGGTGGTGGTGCCTGCTTTTAATTCCAGCACTCAGGAGCCAGTGGCAGGCAGATCTCCTTTGAATTCAAAGACAGACTGAGTTCCAGGACAACCAGAACTGTTAAACAAAAAAATCCTGTTTTGAAAAATTAAAAAAAAAATTTAAAAGATTTATATGTATGAGTGTTCTTCCTGTTCGCCATGTGCATGACTGGATCAGAAGAGGGCATCAGAACCCCTGGAACTGGAGTGGTTTTCATGTGAGACAATAAACCTGGCATTGCTTAATCTACTTTAGTGAAGTCTCCTGTTATCGAAGCAAAAAACACTCTCACTGATAAACATGTAATCATCATCTTCCAGCCAGACTGGGTAGGCAAGCTATTTCCACTACACAAAAGATTTTCATTCAACTAAAAGATTTCTTGAGTGCCTTTCGTATGCTAAATATGTGCAAGAGGTTAACTCAAAGAGAATATAAAATTCTTTACTCACGGAGGTTGTAATCCGGTGATAAATGCAGGAAAAGTGGAAGCAGGCATAATGTTAAGGTACCTCAATGATCAGTCTGGACTAGGAGGTCAGGGAACCCCCAATAAACTATAACAAGACCGTATTTCAAAAATCCATGCAGCATTAGTATCATCCATTTGGTATGTTTCTTTGAACTTGTAACATGATCTGATTTTAGTTGTAGTAAGAATTATCCTATGAGGTCCAACCTAGGCATTCTACATATATACGACAGGTGTGTAGCTTGGTCTACTTGTGAGACTCCTAACAGTGGGTGCAGGGGCTTGAGAATCCATTCCTCATTCTTACCACAACTTAATAGATCATGCTTTGTTGACACCCATGGGAGGCCTGAACAGAAACAGGAGTGGATGGAGGAGTGTGAAGGAGGGGGAGGTAGTGGGAGGAGAGGAGAGGAAGGGAAATTGTAGTTGGGATATAAAATAAAAAAGAGTTACGTATGAGTAAGTGTTAGGTAAAGTACGTTTGGTGGTGAATGGTACTTGGGAGGTGGTGGCATGAAGGTTATGAAGACCAACTTTAGCTATAGTGAGTTTGAGACCAATGTTAGTTACATGAGACTCTGAAAAGGCCAAACTACTACTACTAATGATGATGACAATTTTGGATGTGTGTGTGTGTGTGCACATACACACACGATAAATCAACACTGAGAGCCAGATTATATTTTTCTTTTAAAGAGAAGCATTGAAGCAAGTCAGGCAGTGGTGGCACATGGCTTTAATCCCAGCACTCAGGGAGTCAGAGGCAGGTGGATCTCTGTGAGTTCGAGGCCAGCCTGGTCTACAGAGTGAGTTCCAGTACAGCCAGGGGTACACAGAGAAACTCTGTCTCCAAAAACAAACAAAAGGTACCGAAGCCTTTTGTTTGTTTCTATTTCTAATTTAGAAATAGCAAATACTGAAGATAATGTAATGGGAGCCAAGGCATTTGGTATCATTAGTTGGGAATGCTGAATAGAATAATTTGTAGATTATGATTCCCACAGGTTGCAGTGGATATTATTTTTTTTTAACTCATGAGGGCTAAACTTTCAGAATCTTCATACTGTAGTCAAAATTCCAAAAACTGTTCACAACTTTATTACAGCAAGACAGGGATGAGCACATGAGACACACAAGAAAACAGTGAAGGGAAGAGTCAAGGATAAGCTAAAAGCCCAAGGTGGTGGGCACTTGTAATCAGAGCACTCTGAAGGTTGAGGATCACACAGACCCTGTCTAAAATATCTACAGCTGAAATAGGATGGTGTTTATCATAGCTGCTACTGAAGAGATGGCTACAGGAATTTCCAGGGACGATAAAAACAAACATCAAGAAAGCAGTGATTTGCCCTCCACCAGTTTCATTATGGAAAATGTCTAAGAAATACAAAAGCACAATGAATACTTGTTCAGAAAGATTTACCATGCACCATCAACAGTCATTTCTACCTCCCACTTCCTAGCATTCCAAAGTCAATTCCATTTTATACTCTAAAACAAAGGTTCCAGAGCCAAAGCCCTTGATATCCTAGTTCACTGTGTAGAAGCCCTTTGTCTTAAATGTCATTTTTATAGGCAATCTTCCTTTGGACTGCCAACTTCTAAATAAAGACATGGAGAATTTTTATTAATTATGAAAGCTTGGCCTTAGCTTAAGCTTGTTCCCAACTAGCTCTTAAAACCTAAGTTAACCCATTTGTATTAATCTACATTCTGCCACATGGCTCATCACCTCTCTGGTTACTTCCTCCACATCTGGCTCCAAATCCCTCCACCTCTGACCCCGCCCCCCAGTTTCTCTCTCTCTCTCTCTCTCTCTCTCTCTCTCTCTCTCTCTCTTTCTCTCTCTGTCTCTCTCTCCAGAAGCCCCACCTAACCTCTCCTGCCTAGCTATTGGCCATTCAGCTCTTTATTAAAACAATCAGAAGGTGCCTTAGGCAGGTGAGGAAGGACAGAGACAAACCTTTGTTATAGGAGGCCTCTTGTTTGTTCCTGGCTGCTCAGACCCAAAATAACCACACAGAAGCCATATTATTTGCAATACTGTTTGGTCAATAGCTTAAGCGTATTTCTGGCTAACTCGTATCTTAATTTAACCCATCTTCATTAATCTATGTATCACCACATGACTGTGGTTTACCAGCAAAGTTTCAGCATGTATGTCTCTGGCGGCAGCTCTGTGGCTTCTCCTGACTTTGCCTTCTTTCTCCTAGCATTCAGTTTAGTTTTCTCTCTCTATTCTGCCCTGTGCAGGCCTAAGGCAGTTTCTTTATTAACCAATGGTATTCAGAGCATACAGAGGGGAATCCCATATTGCATCCCCTTTCTGTTTAAATAAAAAGGAAGGTTTTAACTTTAACATAGTAAAATTACATATAACAAAACAGGTATCAAGCAAGAATTACAGTTATATCCACTTTATCTTTTATCACAACTAAGGAAAACTATAATTATAGTTATCTATTCCTCAACTCCATCAAAGACTCCAGAAGGTTATACTATTTCCTAAGTAAACAGGAAGTGCATTGTAAACAACTTCCAAAACTCTAGAATTGACAGAAATTTCTTGCTGCCTGGACAGTCACCCAAAGTTCTTCTGTACCGTTGGGACATCCATCTTTAGCCTACAGGCTCATAGTATCCAGCAGACTTTCCCAGGAAGCAGGAAATTTCAAAGACAGTTCCGCCTATATTGGCAGTTTGTCAGTCACTTTCTTCTGTGTCCTGCAGAATGTCTGGAAGATTCTTTCATGAAGCAGAAACCCCAAAGGACTGTCTTTAGGCAAGTTCAGCAGTCATTTCTCTGTGGGTCCTGCATGTCCAGTTCATCAAGCAGTGTCTTGCCAAAATGGCTAACAAACTCCATAAGGAGCCTCTTCAGTGTCAATCTTTCTCTTGAAGTAATTGGTGCTGCCAGGAGCAGATGTGTCTCACTGTCTTGATGAAAAGTCCTAAAGTTCTTAAAACATTTTAAATGCTGGTTGTGTGGTAGTGGTGCATGCCTTTAATTCCAGCACTCGGGAGGCAGAGGCAGGCAGATCTCTGTGAGTTCGAGGCCAGCCTGGTCTACAAGAGCTAATTCCAGAACAGGCTCCAAAGCTACAGAAAAGCCCTGTCTCGAAAAAAAAAAAAAAACAACAACCAAAAAAAATCATTTTAAATGTCATATTCTGTAGTCTTTGAAATGTTTGAAGAATGCCTATTCATCTGAAATGCATCTCTGTACATCTAGAAAATCTAACTAACATGACTACAAGCTTGACTATTATAAATTACTATTAACCAGTATTTATTAATTATACATTACATTTTTAAATGAGTTGTGCAAACAAAATACCTTAATCAAGGGTAGATATATACATATAAAAAATTGATCTTAAATTGGTATCCGTAAACCAAGATCTATACCAATGCAAAGTATTCATCTCTATATCACATCTTCACATAGATTATCCCCCCTTTTAGTCCAATTAAAGGCTCTTTCTCTAACATCAATAAACTATATACAATGAGAACAATTATCAGGTAAGAATTCTATTCAAAATGTCCAGTCCATTTGTATTTGGCAATTTCAGAGAAAATACTGTATATCTATGTTGGTGAGTCCAAAGCTTTTACCTTAATAACTTTCTTTCATAAATTGTATTATAAACCTAAAAATACCTTTTTAGATCTTAAAACATTTTCCTAGATAAACAACTTATGCTTTTATCTCTCAACCTTTACAAACTTTACATCTGTTTTGTGAGTTTCTTTTCTGAATTTGGTAGCAAAGAAAACTGTAAGACTATATTGATCTTCAATCCCATCAGATGCCTGAAAAGGAAAAAAAAATATTACCTCAGTAAACATGAAGTACAGGGCAAGCAGCTTCCAAAACTATAGAAATGACAGAAACAGCAGGCTGCCTGGACAGCCACCCAAGATTCCTCTGTAATATTAAAGCATCCATCTTCAGCCTACAGGACCAGATTATCTGACAGACCTCTGTGAATCAGGAATGTTGAAGAACCAACCTACCTTGTCTTGGTAAAGTTGGGCAGTTGACTTCTTTTGTATCCTGCTTGTCCAATTTGGACAGGATACTGTTGGCAGCTGAGGCAAAGGCAGTTTCTTGCCCGGTGGCTAGGTCTGCCACATTTAACACAAACTCCATATGGAGGTTCTTCCATGACTTATCTTCTTTGAAGTAGATGGTGCCATCTTTGTTGTTGCCAGGAGTAGATGTATCTCACCATCATGATAAGTCTTAAATTATTAAAACATCATAAATGTCATATTATATAGATCTCTGGCACGTTTGAAGATCACCTATCAAAAATATATCTATTTAACCTTGAAAACATACATGAGGCTAAATAAAGCTTCTTTCTGTCTACATCTGTATACCCTTACAAGTTTGATTGGCATCCTAATTATCCCAAACAGTTTGTAATAGTAGCTTTCAAGGACTATAACTTTATATTTTTAAATGAGCTGTGTTGGGCCAAAATTATCTCAGGGCCTGTACCTCAAGGCCTATAGGACAGAAAAAAGCCTGACTTGAGAACTTTGAGGCCTGTGGGACAGAGAAAAGCCTGGCTCAAGTTTGAGTGAGGATGAGACAGCAGAAATTAGGTAGATGCCACTCCAGTCAGAGGGAGGGTTTGGCTGTCTCTCATTGGATGGAAGAACTCCCACATCACACCATGTCACTTAAGCTATATAAGCTGACACTCACAGTAATAAACTGAGTTCCTGTTTGACTTGACTCCCTATCACGTATGCTTGTCCTGCATCGTGGGGGCTGTGGAAGTAGCATCATGCGCCATGGGGCTGCGGGAATGGGCATATAGTGCACTCACCTTTCCCTGGGGATTAAGGAGGCTCAAGAAGCCAGCAAGTTGCATAGGTACAATACCTTAAACAAGAACAGAAAAAATATATACAGTATGTCATAACAAAAAACCTTAAATTTATATCAATATACAAAAATCTATACCAATGTAAAACATTTGAGACTAGTCGTTCTTTAGTTTAAAAGTAGATTCAATAATCTCCTTTTATCCTATCATTCCTTTATCTACTCCTTTTTTCATCCCCATCCCTTCCTTTACACTAGATAGGAGAGAAAAAAAGGATGGTGGAAAGGAAAAGGAAGAAATCCCTTAATCTAATTTCCTTTGTTTAGTTTTCTCCCTGATCATGAACAATAACAACTTGCAACAAATCCTCCCAAATGATAACATACATCCACAACCCACTGAATGACCAAAAACTACCCACCCCATCTCTTTTGAATGTGAGCTTTGTGTTTTAAAATTGCTTCCTATTGTTTGTGGGCAATGTCATCTTTAAGGGACCCTGGGATGATGCTGTTCAGTCTCAGTGTGATGAAAAAGATCAGGGCTTAACTGAAGTGCTGCCTGGAGTAGTCTGAGGCTTGACCATCTCAGCCAGCCGCTTGGAAGCTGTCCTGGATGCAGATTTTTGAGGAAATAGCAAAGGAAGCATTCTGTGAGGCTGGATCACCTGAGATACTTGTCTTCATTGATGTTTGATCCTTTTGTTCTCAAAATACAAAAACTTTTAAAGGTACTATACATATTTTCAAGTATGGAATGTAAAGTGTGCACAAGTCAGCTGAAAATGATTTTCTGTTCTATGTTTGAGCAGATAAAAGGTACCCGTCAACTTTATATGCTCATTTGGACTATATGACCAATTGTCATGAGGACTCTAGCCAACAAGATTTATGTCTCGTCCAGTCTCAGGTCTGCTTCCACGTAGAGCAATCTCAAGGCTGCTCCCATGTAGAGTGATCAGCATATATATCACCTGTCTTGTAGTTTTTTTCTTTGTTTCTTCCTTCATGTCTGTAGTAAAGATTTTCAGGAGGTCTCCCCCAGTCAGATCTGATCTTCATTAATTTTGAAGAAATCTATAACTTCTTTTTTCCTGTGGAAATAAAGGCATGTCCTCTCCCCCAACACAACACATTTCCTGACTTCCATTCTGAAGATAAGATATCCTTAAAATATGCAGGCTGCTTTAATCCAGCAGTTTTACCCTTACAAACCAATACTTCTTGGCAGCTGTTGTTTTTTGCTCATCAACATTTTAAAAAAATTAACCAGGTGATGGAGGCACATGTCTTTAATCCCAGCACTCGGGAGGCATTAGCAGATGGATCTCTGTGAGTCTGAGGCTGACCTGGTCTACAGTGTAAGGTTCAGGACAGCCAGGACTGTTTCATAGAAAAACCCTGGCTCAAAAGACCAAACAAAGAAACAAAAAAGAATTAATAAACATTATATATTAATTATCTCTAGGGGTCTTTATTACTTTTTTCTGTTTATTAAGCATCTCTCTCTCTCCCTCCCTCCCTCCCTCTCTCCCTTCCTCTTTGGTTTTTTGAGACAGGGTTTCTCTGTAGCATTCCTGGAACTAGCTCTTGTAGACCAGGCTAGTCTTAAACTCAGAGATCTGCCTGCCTCTGCCTCTGGAGTGCTGAGATTAAAGGTGTGTGCCACCACTGCCCAGCTTGCATCTCTTTTAAAGTACAGTTGGATCTTTCTATGACTGCTTGTCCTTAGGATTCTGTGGTATACCTGTAACACGCTTTTTGTTGTAGTATGTAAAAACTGTTTCATTTGACCAGAGACATATTCTGTAATGGCAAATCAATCCCATACCAGTTGTGTTTTAAAGGGGTATTTATTTTTGGGGGGGTAAACTTACATACACATAAACCATCAGGAAAGGAGCCTAGTCGCTGGAGCAGGAGCCGGAACCAAGCACCGGAACCAAGAGGCCGAACTGAGGCTTGCTGCTCTTCTTTTAAAGAGAAATATACCACGCCTCAGTGGGCTGGTATTTCAGCGGCTATTGGCTGACGGAGCGGAAGGCGCTTCTGCAGCACCTCTCCCTTTTGTTTAAGTAAGAAAATTCTAAGTCTACTATGAAATTATATACAGTAAGTACAAACCTACAAAATTATATACAATAAGTACAAATATCCTATTCTAACTAGCTAAAGTCTTGTATAATAAATAACTTGGCCAAGTCATGAGAGGAAAGTAGCTACATTTATCTAGTCTTCAACCCCATAGAAGATCCGAGAAGGGAAATAATGTTACCTGAGTAATTAGGAAGTGCAATCAAAGAACTTCCAAAACATGCAACAAATCACAGAAACAACTGGCTACCTGGGCAATCACCAAAGACCTGTTTGCAGCGTTGAAGCAACCAACTTTGACTAAGGCCTAGAATAACTGGCAAATTACTTTTAACAGGCAAGAGATTATTCAAAACGATCTTACCCTGTCTTGGCAAGATTTAACAGTTCTGTTTATCCATTTCCGGATTTTATCCATTTCCGGATTTTATCCATTTCTGGATTTTAACAGGCAAGACATTTTTCAAAACCGTCTTACCCTGTCTTGGTAAGATTTGACAATTCTGCTTATCCATTTCTGGATACCGTGTATTTGTCAGTAGTTGAGGTATGGGCAGTTCCTTGGCCAGAGGCCAGTTTTGTCAAGAAGACAAGCTCCAAGTAGAGTGTCTTTGGTGCTCAACAATTTCTCAGTAATAGGTCGGTGTTGCCAGGAGTGATTGTGTCTCACTATACAGAAGTCTAAGATTAAATTAAATGCCATTTTCTACAGCTCTTCGAAGAGGTTGAAGACTATTTATATATAATCTCTATGTATCTAAAGAACCTGATTAGTCTAACCATAAATATGACAGACATAGACGACTATTGGTCTACAATTCTTAACATGTATCTAACTTAAAGACTAAGAGAATAAACAACTGTGCAATAAATGAGGACAATGACCTCCAAATGTAAACAATAAATATCAATACATAAACAATATATGAGTATCTTAATCAGAGGTAGAAATGTACACTGAAATATGGTATACATAAATCAATACAATATATATCAATACATAAAAAATGTCTTAAACAGGTAGAAGCATGCATACATACAATATTCAATATAATTTAACTTTGTATCCATATACAAAAATCTATGCCGATGTAATTATCTATAAACAATAACTCACAAATACCATTATTATCTATCCAATTTTCCCTCTTTTTTTTCAAAAAGATCCCTGAGTTTATAAAATTCCTTTCCCAACTTTCAACTGTATACTAATTATAATCAATCCCTAAATATTGTTCCTAAACCTGAGGACAAACTTTGCTGAGAGAGGGGACATCGTTCTCTAGAATTACTTCTAGCTGTCATGGGGATGAGGTTCTTTCTGGAGGATCCTGTGAAAGTAAAATGATGGTTAAATGTCAAGATCAATGTCTTTTAAAATTGCAAACAGTCTCTGAGTATTTTGTGGAGGTCTGGCCAGAATGTTGTACAAGATGTGCACCATTTCTGCTAACCAAGTTGCAATCATCTGTGCAGCTGATACCCGAAACAGGACTTGTAGTAGCACTATCAGTATCATGACATCATATCAACTGAGTGGAGTTGTTGTTATGGGGGTCCCATCTTCTTCCTGGAAACTTCAAATGTCAATGCAGAAAAAACTCATTGTTCATTGTGGAAAACTTAAACATTAACTATATAGACATATACAATCATATATTCAATGAAAGGTATGATAGACATATTCAATGAAAAGTATGATAGATATGAAGAAAAGCAAAGATGTTTTCTAAACTCGTATTTCTTTCTGTCTCATATCATGGCTCTTGACATAAGACAGAAACTCCAGAAACTCTGGTTTTTTTCTCCTAACAACAGGCGTGGAATTAGAGAGGGACCGAGCCAAGAGTCCAACTCCAAAACCAGCTCTATAAATTCAGAAATATGATTTAGTATATTCCAGAGCTTCATACTCACAGAACCTATTCAGTTTTCTTGATAATCCATATTGGGTAGTTATTTTTCCATCTGTCAGTATTCAAACATCCAGGGTCCTTTGAATTTTTCAAAGACGAGTGTTTTCCTGTGGAGATAAGAACAGAGCCCTGCCCCCATTCTATGTTTTTCTTACCACCTCTATGGTTATCATCATTGTAGATGCTGTCATTTCTCCTTTCCAAGAGGTTTCTTCTCTTCAAATCTAACCTTTATTAATTTTGATGGTATCCACAATTTTTCTTCTCCTGTGGAAACAAGAGCAAAACCCCTTCCCCAATGTAGCACATCTCCTGGCTTCCGTTGAGAGGTCAGCACATCCTTGATAGAAACCGGTTGATTTAGTTCAACAGACTTTTCCATTATCCAATGTCTTTCTGCCGCTGTTGTTCCCTTCTCATTAGCGTTAAGAAAATTCAAGGTTAATAAGGCATTATGTAATCGATTTCTGGGGCATTTTCCACCCCTTTCTGCTTATTTAACATATCCTTTATAGTTCGATTTGATCTTTCTATGACTGCTTGACCTGTAGGATTGTATGGTTTACCTGTAACACGCTTAATATTATAATAAGCAAAAAACTGTTTCATTTTCCTAGATACATAAGCTGGACCATTATCTGTTTTTATTTGTGCAGGTATACCCATAATGGCCATAACTTCTAATAAATGTGTGATTACTGAGTCAGCTTTTTCTGAGCTTAAAGCCTGAATAAGTGTCAATGGTGTTATGTACATATTTTAATTTTCCAAATTCTGCAAAATGGAAGACATCCGTCTGCCAGATTTCATTCCTTTGAGTACCCTTCGGGTTAGTCCCTACAGGTAGTGGTGTTTGGTTATATAAAGAGCAAGTAGGGCATCTCTTTAAAATCTCCTTAGCTTGTTGCCATGTAATGGAAAACTCTTTCTTTAAACCTTTGCTATTGACGTGATGTTTTTATGAAATTCTGAAGCCTGCAACACACTTCCAATCAATAATTGATCAATTTCTGCATTACCTTGTGCTAGAGGACCTGGCAGATCCGT